TACTTGTTGACATGTCATTTGTTATTGGGATGTCTTCAACAATATTATTTGACACTAGGGCAACTTCTTAGTAGTCGGGGGTACTCTTTCCCCAACTAACGTCTCAGAGAAAGCCTCGGTTGCTGCCGGCGGCGGCGGCGGTGGAGGCACCTCATTCCCAGCCCTATGATCTCAACCCAAACCCTCAATCAGATAGCCTAACCCCCTAGTCTTCGGGGTAAAGCTAGTCCCAAACCCACCCCTGGGCCACTCATAAAACTTTGCCTGCGGCCTCTACCACGTGTACGATCATTACCACATGGTACCATCTCAACCTCTGAAATGGAGAAAGATCCAATTTACAAGCAACTACAAATACAAAAAATCATAAAAGAGAGGCCTAATACATCTACATATGATAACATACCATCATATGTGAAGTCGGTCTAGTTAGGGTACACATAGAAGTTGGTTAGTTAGTGGTTTCTTAAGTAAAATGCTCTAATACCAATTGTAACACCCCGACCCGTAGGTCACACATAGTCCCATTCCTGAGTTTTCATAGGCTTGGGGCGAAATTCAAATTATGGGGCCCAACAATAGAATATATCACAATAATATTTTTAATAGTAAAAATATAAAATAATTTCTTCTAGCCTTTTTATATGCAAATTCATCGATAATAGTGCCAAAATTAATTTTTTCTAACATTTCTTTTTCAGTACACAACATAGCCAAACCATATAATCGTTCTTGAGACATACACGATCTTAAATAAGTTTTTAATAATTTTAATTTTTGAAAAACTTATTTCGGCTGATGCTACTATTACTGGTACAGTTAATAACATACGATAGGCTATAGAAACATTAGGATAACAATTAACCACTTTAATAAATTCAAGAATTTCAACAAGTGACATTAAGTTATTAGGTAAAATCATTTGTAGAATTATCAATTCAACAATCATTTCTTCTAGGTCAATATCAGAAATATTATTATAAGAAACAATAGTTGATAAAACAGTACAACATTCTCTTAACTCCTTATTGTCTAAATATTTTAATTTTTGTGAATTAAATAAAAAACCAAATATGCTATTAAATATTTTCAATTGCATAAATATATCATTTAATGAAGTAATGGTCATATCTACTACAACTAAAAATAATTAATTTTAATTATTATTATTTTTATTTTTTTATTGTAGTTGTTCATTTTGATCACAATCATCAAATTTCTTTTTCTAAAAACACGACTTTTAGTTAGAAATACGCATTCGATATCCATAATTAAAGCAATTTCGTTTGCAACATGCATACTATTAAAAAATCCTTCATTTCAATATTTTTCAAAAAGTAATAAAGCATCTTCTATTTTTTTCATAGCCGTATCAATACTTACAATTTCAGATTGTAATTTTTTACTCGCATTATTAATAACAAATAAAATATCATATCAAATAATCATACCAAGTAAAAATCATAGGATTCAAGAGAACCAATCAAACTTTCAGCTTCACTTTTTTATTTAGCATCATCACATGAATTAATTAAATCTAACAAAGTTAATCTAATTTGAGGAGTTTGAAATCTAATAGCTTCAACACTTTTAATTCTACTTTTCCAACGAGTGTTTGACAAAGATTTAAATTAAAATTTGAAATATTATCGAGCAAAAACTTCCATCTTTTTGTCTAGCTTGAAAACAATGTATTTATATTGCACAATTACAAAAAATGATACTGCTTTTGTACAAGAATGTGTCATATCACAAAGTGTAAGATTAAAACTATGACAAGCACATGACATATATAATACTCTAAGATTTATATCAAGTAATCTTTTTTGAACTCCTTGGTGTTTACCTTTCATATTAGATCCATTATCATAATCTTGACCCCTTATATAATTAATATTAAGATCAAGGTATTCAAGTGCATTTTTCAATTCTTTAAAAAGTCCTAAACCACTTTTATCTTCTACTTGCAAAAATTGTAAAAAGTATTCTTCGATTTTAATTTTACTACTTGACATATCTATACAACGCACAATTAAAGTCATTTGCTCTTCGTGACTAATATTTGGGGTACAATCTAGAATTATTGGAAAATCTTTTGACTCTTTAATAATTTTTATAATTGAACTTCTAACACTATGAGCCAATAAAGAAATAATTCATTTTGAATTTTGTGACCAAGATAATGATAATTAATTTCATTATTTTGAATACGCTAATATGATCTTGCATAACTCTATCAAATTCGGCAATCATTTCAATTATTTCTAAAAAATTACCTTTACTGTCTTGATAAAGTTTTTCTAATTATGTTTAAAAAGACATTTTACAACAAAAATTATTCTAATTAAAATTTGTCTTTAACGTTCCTTTTCTTTTATAATTTTTTTTTGAAGATCTTTATCAATTGTTTGACTTTTACTTAATCTTAATTTAATTCATTCCAAGTATTCATATATGTTATATGTTCAATATTATTTTCATGTTGTTTAAGTCTTTCGGCTAAATGTTTCCAATCTTTAAATCCACCATTTGCCAACAAACATTTACTGTTATTTTTCTTAGAAATTTTACAACAAAAACAATATATTTTATCAACATCTTTAGAATAAACTAACCATTTTCTATCACTTATTTTTCTATTATATAATTTTCTAAAGTAATGGACATATGAAAAATGTGTGGAAGTCTTATCTAATGGAAAAATATGACCTAATTCTCTTTTAGGTCAATTTTCAATTAAAATATTTTTTTGTATACTATCAAGATTATCCCAATTTTTAGGATCAGAAATATCTAAATAAGAAATATCACTATCATTAATTTCTAATCCTATTTCATTATTATTATTATTATTATTACTATTACTATTATTATTATTATTATTATTTTATTATTATTATTATTATTTTATTATTATTATTATTATTATTATTGATAATATTACTATAGACAATATTTTCGCTATTTAAATTTTCAATAGATTTAGAATGTTCAATACAATTATCATTTAATTCGTCAAAACTCATAGAATGACCTATATTCTTATTGAAAAATTTATCTAAAGCTTCTTTTTGTGATTTTATTAATTGTTGTTCTTTTTTTTTTTTTTTTTACTTCTTGATAAATATTTTTTAGATAGCATTTTAAAAAATCTATAAATATAAATAAAATAATAAAAGAACAACACCACCTGACAATAACTGAATTTTCCTCATTTTTAAATAATATATATAATTAGTAAAAAGATATAAAATTTCAAAATTTAAACTAAAATATATGGTTCTAAAGATAAGGCATGTGAATGAAACAATAATATATGTATATTAATATATATATATATATATAACACAATACAATTAAAAATATAATAAAATAATAAAAGAGTTTAATCCCTATAATCAAACAAAAAAAAATTGAAGTTGTTAGTTGTTACCTTGAGAGATTTAGAATTTGAATTTTCTTTCTTTTTCTTTATCTTGTACTAGAACAAATACCATATAATAAATATTAAAAAATCAAATAACAAATATTAAAAAATCAAATAATAAACATTAACAAAAATATGCACTATTAAAATTTAAAATAATAAAATTTAACTATGATTCTGTTATTCTGCGGTCTATAGAACAAAATCAAAGAAAACTTCACTTATAAAACTTGTACTGTTATAAAATTTTAAGTTATAATTTTAGTTTTGATGTAAAAAATAAAATTGATGAATAAATTATCATACTATAAGTAAATAAATAAAAATTAATCTTATCCAAAATTGCAGATGGCAAAAATAAAAGATCACCGAGATGAATGGATGAAGATGAAAACAGAGAAAGAAGAAAGAAAATAAGGAAATTAAGATAAAAAAAATTTATAAAATGAGCAACTCTGCAACTCCGTTTTATAATTCTTATGAGAGATTACATAGAAAATATAACTTGGAAGACTGCAACTAAATTTATAAAATAGTCTTTTGATTTTTTTTTCAATTATATATTTATTATTTATCTTTTATTTTTTAAAACACGCAATATATATATACACACACACGTATATCTACAAGTCTCTTCTCATTTTGGGCCCTGGACGAGGGCCCCTTTCTCCGTGGCCCAGGGCTAGGCTGGTCACGCAATGTCACACACCCGGCCTGCAACATACACAAATTCAGGCGTGTCATGATCGCTGATTAGCCTCACATGGTCAACATAAATCTTTACACGGCGTTTTGTCCTCACTCGTAGACATCTGAGAGACTTTCCAAGAGCTCACTTATCTTCAATTTCACTCTAGGACAAGCATCTAGAGTTCTTTTAGTAGGGATCTCGAAAACGAATGCTACATTGTTGACATGAGTAATTTATTCAATTTACTTAATCTCTATTCAATCACGGATGACCTAGCACCGACTCATTTATACACGAAAATTGGCCTAGCACCAACCCAATTCCGGGTATCACAATTTCGCTTTGGAACATCCTCCCCACCTCGAAGTAGGGATTGTCCTCAACGCCTCAAAATCTCGAACAAGTTCCTCAAACTGCCATGAGTCTTTGGCCAGCTTCTAACTCATCTCGGACTCAGGTCGTCCACACCACTTGACCAAGTACTCTGTCGACGGTGGTCGATTATTGTGTCGGACCACCCTGTCAATCAAGACTTCATAACAACCTAATTTAATGAATATGACCAAATATTGACGACATAATCTAATAATATAAATCTAATCTAAAACTAAATAATTAAATTATCTAGAAAACGGCCATTTTAAAAGACTTCGAATCTATGTAAACAAAATTTCAACAACTTCCCTTGGGTGCGGTTACATCCGTAAAGGATGACTGATAATTACATTATTCATCGTCAAAAAAACCAAACAATTTACTACGCAAAACCCTGCCAGACAAAAACAAAAAGAGTTTGCTGCTGCTGCTGCTATAACCATATTGGAAAAGAATAAATAAATAGATAATGAAATCAAGATTGCACAACTTCATCTTCGCCTTAATTTATTTCCCTTGATAATTGCTGCTGGTGACTTTATTGGTCGCGTCGCTAGCGTTGCTGGTGGTGGTGAGAGTACTACTCCCATTGTTGTTGCTCACAACATTATTGTTATTGTTAGTGGTGTTGATGTTGTTTCCGGTGTTGTTGGGGTAGGGCGCACTGATGATCGAAGAGATGGCCGCGGCCAAAGCTGTGGCAAAGTTGGGATCAGCAGCAAGTGCATTGACAGTGTCATGGCTCAGCTGATTTTGCGTAGTCGTGCTGCCACTACCACCATTGGGGTTCTGCTCCATTTCTTGCGACATTTGCAATCCCGAGAATCTGGATTGATTGTACAAAGCTTGCCCGACGATTTGTGGGAGGAAGTTGGCGGCGGCAGCATGGGGGTTTTGGAGGAAGGGTATGGGGAATTGGTTAGGGGGTCTTGGGAATTGAATGTCGTTGAGTTGTTGGTGGGTTAGGTCTAATGTGACGGTGGGGAATGGGGCCGAGGCGGAGATGGTTGCCATGCTAGAAGAGCACGGGAGGAGTGTCCTTGCCAGGTAGCTTGAGTTTATTAGCCCATCGGGGCTCGGCATTGACCCCGAGAGGAGCATCCTGGCTGCCGAGGATGTTGTCGATGCCATTGCAACGGCTGCCGGGGGCAACGGGTGGTTGTGGTTGCCCTCGTAGGTTGTTATCAGGACACCCTCGTCTTCCGCGCATCGTTGGACCTGCATGTACATGTACAGGGAGGGAGCACCATGTAATCCTTCTTCCTTCATTGCTACACTACTTTTTATTTTTTCTTACCACTCAATCTGTTAAATTTATTTTAATCATCGCAACAAACATCTAGTTTTTATTTAAAGGATCACAATCAACAACAATTATATTTCACATGAAAAAAGTAAAAAAAAAATATATATATATAAATAACATCAAAATCAAATAATTCTCATTTTAGTTTTATAAAATTGTACGATTGTAATTTGATCCCCATATGCTTTTATTCTTCATTCAAGCTTTGATAGGCAACACAATGCAATTTAATTACTGAAATAAAAGAATAAGATAAAATTGTAGGTTTATTAAATTAAAACAAAATAATAATCATAATAATAATAATAATAATAATAATAGCATCAAATGCTTAATTTTTACTTATTATTCTTTTGAAAAAATTAGATACGAAATATCAAGATAGTCCCAATATACAATTTGATGTGTGTATATACATTGGGATGTATTTAGTTGATAGGATAGAATTATAATAACTAATATTATTTTAATAGATTTTATAAATATGATATTAAGTAATATTATATCTATTTGGTTTGAGTTAATATAGGATAATATACAAATATTACTAAAGATATATATTAATCTCACCCATGTAGATGAGATTAATTATAGTTAATTAAGATATTATTATGACTAGCTTTAATTAATTCCATTCCTAAGTTTTAATTAATAAAAATATATATATGATTAAATTAAATAAAATAATATTATTTGCTCTAAATCCGCCCAGCATATTATAAGATTATTGACCTACTTAAACTACATTTTTATATGCTCAACTCAATCTTGAACCCTTATTGTGAATCCATCACTTGACAAAAGCCATCTAAATAAGAACATATATGCATATATATATATATATATATGAAGAGTTAAGATAAAAATGTTGGTTAATTTCTTGCGGTACCCCAAAGCTAAGAAAGCTTCCAGGCAAGATCTTCTGTCCCATTAATACATCTTATCCTCAGTACACATAATTTGTATATATACACATGTGTGTATTTGTGTATATATACACACTATGTTTGTGAAGATAGGATAATAGGATTTATTTTTGGAACGGAGGATGTCACGGGAAGCTTTACACTAGAGGTTGTGATCTTCAAACTTGTCGACCAAGAACCAAATTTGCCCACATGTATGTATAATCAATCAAATGTCATGGATGGTATCCAGGAATTGAAAGAGATTATACACACTTAAATTTGATCATAGGAGCAAAGAAGATAAACAAAATCTTGGAGAGAAAGTAGCACAACACAGCTTTTACACTACTTAGAACACCAAGCCATCGAGCATCGCATCGCATAGCTCTACTAGATCGATTTAGACCACCAAATTAAATAATTTAGTCCAAGACTTACTTGTTTCCTAACGGGGCATCCAGCTGCCATTGTACAACGATAATATGCCCGCGGACTTGGATTCCCTTTCGCCAGTTTTTGACCATATTTCCTCCATTGGCATCCATCCGTCATCTATAACAACAAAAAATTAAAAATAAGAATCCAGAAATAACACAACACTGCTTTCGTCTTTGCTTCAAACACAAATCAACATTATTCAACCCCTATTGTTTCCAATGAATATACACTCTTTTTTTGTCATTAAAGATTACATCAAAGAACTAAAACTTCAATCAACAACTCAATTTCAAATCAAAACCAAACAAACCAATGCGTTGGAAAAAGAAAATTCAATGTCGCATACCATGTGAGCATCGGAACGAGCACGGACAGACACCCTAGCCTTCCTCATAGTAGCCTCGGTGGCTTGATCAGTAGATCTTGAAGATTGGTTAGCAATTCTAGCTGCTTTGTTCACAGGACCATTTTCTTCCTCTTCAGTGACATTTTTATCTGCTATTCGAGATGGGACCCTTGTGGTCCTTCTCTCAGGTGGAGACAAATGACCTACATCCTTTTCGGGTGCGACGGCCAATCCAAGATCCATAAATTGTCTAGGGACAGATCCAACATTTCCATTAGAATTCTGGTGTTTTTCGTCGTAGTTTCCGTAAGACTGCTCCGGTTGCTTCCTTGTCACGTGCATATGGAGATTGTTATAATCATTTCTTATTTTCGTCAACATCTCTTTTAGATGGAAATTTTCCGACTTGAGCCGCCCCATTTCAGCTCGAAGAAGTAGCATCTCCTGTTTCTGATTAAAATTCAATTCAGGACACATTTTTTATTATTATTATTATTATTATTATTATTATTATTATTATTATTATTATTATTATTTTTGTTTGGAATGATTAAATTGATTATTTCATTTAAGCTGCCAATCTAACAGTATCATCACCTCATCTTTTGCTCTCTTGTTTTCTAAAATACAACACATCTTCTCGTCTCCATCCTCATTGCTCGGATGAAGATGCAATCCAGTCTACTCGTACAAATGAAAATGAAAATGAGACAGTGAATAAATAAATAAAATAAAGGCAAGAAGAGAAATCATTGATACGTACATTCACTTTGAAATCTAAGACAGATTCATTATCATCATCATCCTGGTGCATACGGTCTCCTCCTTCTCCACCACCGCTGACCTCGACCTTGTTCTCGGCGAAGAAATCCCTTTCATCGACAACTCTCCTCAGATTCGGCGCCGGTTGATCGTATCCTAAGCTCACTGGAAATTGAATGGTGGGAGGGGATGACGAGCCAGACCTCATCTGTGACTCCATATCAAATCGACTGAAACGATGATTCGGACAAATTAAAGGCAGGAGGGTTTGGAGAGGGCTCCTTCGATCAAAGGAGAGTCCACTTCGTGCAAGCCCCCCTATCAGATATATATATATATGTATATATCTCTACACTCACACACACACACACAGGGAATGAGGTTGAATGCAGCATTTGACTCGGCTCTTTTACCCTAATTGAATCATAACTACTACTTCACGCCTGTTTGTATTAGAATTATGTTTTCAGATATCTTGAGAAAAGAATTTGAGGATCCCATACTTGTTATCAAACCCTTATTATTCTAAATTCACAGTTCTAATCCCTTAAATTAACTTATTTATTATTTTAATCCAAAGATATATCCACTATTCTCTAGACATTTGATTTTACTATTTTCTGTATTTAGACTCCTGCATCGACATTTTCAGTCATTTTATAGGTGTTCGAAATAGTAAAAAATTAAATAAAAAGTAGTATTTTCAGCTAAAAAAATATACCATGTTTTAAATTAAAAAATAATTATTTGATCTCGTAAAAATGTTGGGTCAACGCAGAGGAATTCTCTAAGCAGAAATATGGTTGCGAAGCCATCAAACTTGGTCAATATATCGCGTGTTCTATGATAATTTTTCGTAAATTTCATTGAACATTTTATTATCCTAATAACTCCAAATATATATATATATGTATATCTCATGTAACTGTAATTTAAATAATAGAATGAAGGATTAAAATGATAATAAGTTGGAGGTAGATACTAAAAAGTAAAATCAGTAGGTCCAAGAAATTCACTTGTCGATCTCTTTCTTTACATGTTCAGATCAGATCTTCCCAAAGTAATAGCTGCCATCTAACATATTTAAGTATAGAAATCGGATCTTGAAAAAAGACCAAGTCTTTGCGACTGTTGCATAATCAGGTCAACAATTGGGAAAACTAATAAACTAATGTGGTGGTTGGGATTACATTACAAGTATTGTATTAGATTAAACTAAACTAGGTTGAAATTCTCTGTTGTTCTGGTAAATGGAGTTGACCTTGTTTTCCTCACCTTATTATTCTGAGCCACCAGTTTGTCATACTCATACTATCTTTTGGTTACCTCATGATTTTATCATCATATATATATATATATATATATATATTTTATGTGCAATCTTGAAAAGTTTACTCACGTCCAAATCTTCTCATTTTATTTTAGTTTATTTTATTTTATTTCTAATATGAATGAATTGGAAAGAGAATAATAATAATAATAGTCATAATTTTATCCCTTAAAATTATACTACTATTGTCCCCTAAACAATTTTATCCATTCTAAATTTTATTTACTTTAATTAATAATACCTAATTTAATACCTAATTTTTCATTATTTGAATTTACTTATTCATCATTTGTTATCAATTATTTAATTTAAATTTCATATAATAAACTAAGTATACTTACTCAACTTTGATATTAAAATATTATTATTTTTTTAATTTTTATATCCAAATAAAACTATATAACTTTAGAAGATTGAGGGAATAATATTTAATATATAAAAGTAATTGTATTGAATGAAAAAATAAAAATATATTTCTAACATACAATTAAATAAGGTAAAATAGATATATATGTATTTTTTAGTGGTGTAAGTTTACTATTCTAAACCATTTGATCTTAACCAAATCAACTAGTGTAGTAGCTTGCCCCTTCAAACCACATCAGTGTTGGAAAAATTTCATGTGAACTCCACCGATGACATACTCTCACTTGCAAGTATGGAATAATTAAAATTATATTTTGTATTCCAAACTTCTTCGGAATTGATATTACGAATGATATACATAGCGCGTTGGACTAAAAATTGATGCAATTTGAATCCAACGCTACTAAAGAACTTGAGGCTAAATTGACAAACTAGCTATTAAAACTTACATAAATGCGCTATGGTGACAAAATAGTATAGGATAAAATCGATAATTAAGAATTGTTACAAACAAACAAGCAATGCAATTTCCTCATAATTTTGAAGAATATATATATTTGTTGGACTATGCTTCGAAATGTTCGTTTCTAAGAATGCGCTACACCGCTAGAATTTTGAATATTTATCGAATTTTCGTCAAAATAGAATTTGATAACGTCAATTCACCAAAATTTGGGAAGTTACAATCTTTAGTAAAAAAATAAAAGGACAAAGACAATCCTTCTTCCGTGATAATTTTTAGCATATTTTCCAATATATAATATTTCATTTTATTTTGTGAAATTGAACATTTTTTTTTACCATAATTGATCATTTGATTGAATCTAAGTCATCTTTTATGGAATAAAGCAGTTGTTTATTTGAAAGAAAAAAAGGCTATCAAGCAATGAGAGGTTCCATGCTTACTTCGATTCTTTCATTTATTTTATTTTATTTTATTTTTTTAAACATAGTTACATAATATTACTATTATATCTATCTATTTAATGAAGACCCAATCCTTCTTGATTCATATTCGATCATGTAGGAGAGTCATCTGTAAGAGGGTAAGTTGAGCCTTCTAAGGGATGAGAAATAAACGTAGTAGAAACATATAATCTAACAAAATATCATGGAGTAGAAGATTTTTATTGGTGCATATATATTACTTATATTTTCACAAATTCTCATAATGTCCATGTTCATTAATATTTTTTATTGTATTTTAGTTATGGGTTGCCCAACAATTCAATGAGGATCAAGGAGTAATCGATGTAATATAATTCTATATGTTTAGTATTCTGGTTATGTGAGTAAAACATACATATTTAAAGGTTATAATGATTCACTCCCAAAGAATTATATAATCAATGGTTATAATGATTCACTAAATATAAGTGTGAAGATGGACTTAACTCATCGCCATATCATCATAAGAAAATACGAGTAGACGTATATTTTGAAATAATAATATTTCAAAAGTATAACGGAGTCATGTTATATATGATCTTTACCACAATATGTGTTATCTAGGATTCATTGGGCAAATCCAATACAAGGCGTGTGCGCCTAAGACAAAAGGAATCCTTGCCTATATGGTCCAAAATTAAAAGGGACTCATTATACATATATATATATATATCGTGTGTGTATATATATGATACATATATGGAATAGCATAAAATGCTACCATGGTTTGGTGAATTTGTTGAAAATTATTTGTGGTTAAAAAATTTCATAAAATTTACTTGTGGTTTTTAAAATATTATAAAAAATACCCTCACCGTTAATATTTAACGGAGATTGTATTGCACACGTGATATATCACTTCGTGTATTATTAAAAATTTACATAATAAAAAAAGAAAATTACAAAATTACCCTTCCTTTTCCAATAATTTACTCATTATCCTTCCTTCTCCTCCTGCTCGTCAATTTGGGAATTTTCCAATCTCATTGGATTTTCTTCATCTTCTGATGATAAGTCACGCTGTTTCGCTTCTCCCTATTTCAGCCACCGCCTCAGCCTTTTCTTTCCACTGCCACGCCGAGTCCGATCGCCATCAGCATATTATTTTTTTCGCCCAAGCCCAAAAACCAACCAGCTCAAGCTGCCAATCCAGATTTGTTGCTATTCCGCGTTGTTATGTGTCGGGTCATGTACGGTTTTCTCGAAATGGGGCTAGCAAGACCCCGCCTAAATGGAATTGGAAATATGCGGTGAAATATTCTTTGGATGATTTTCATTAGTTCTATTTCGAATAAATTTATTTGATTTAATATTAATTGAAATTTATTATTTCAATTTGATTCTTTTTTAATTCTCAATCAAGCCTGGGCATTAATTGATTCTTGCTTACTAAATTTTATTTTTGTGTGTTTGAATTGAGGATCTTCAGACATGGTTATATATATATATATATGTCCCACATGCAACTTGCTGATACGGCTACTTATATTATTTTTTACAGTATTTGTTTTAAATTGAAAATTTATGATATATTTTCCTAATTTAGATTACACCCAAATTTGATGTTATAATTCAATTGAAATAATGAGTGAATTGTAGAGTGCATTTTACACACATGGATAGAAAATATATATATATATATATTGATATACATATATAGAGAGAGAGGGGGAGGAAGAGAATTAATATTGTTAACATATATTTAGAACCAATGTATTATATTTATGGTAGTTATCTTATTTAAGAGATTTGTAAGATTCTTGTCTTATTTAAATGGTTTATATATCACTATAAATATGTACGTAATCTTATGATTGAATAGAGAATTTCAATTTCATATTCTAACATGGTATCAGAGCCATGCTTTTTCCCAACCAAATCGAAACAACCCACGCATTCCAGATAGCATATTTCCGACCACTTCCGACCGTCACCGCCACCACCATCGTCTTCGCCGCCACGAGACCGGCCGGACTCCGGAACAGTTCGGCGAACGGCGGCGCGTGAGCCTCACACGCGCCTGACGAGTTTTCCGGCCAGACGCCTCGCCGGCGCGTGGAGGCGCGTGCGGCGGCCGTTGGCGGCGATCTTTGCACCGTCATGTTCGGAATTTGATTTCCTCCGCGATGGTATCTTCACTTCTTCCGTTTGAGCAGTTTTTGTATCCGGTTGACTTTTAGTGTTTCGGGTTCGATTCGGTTTTCTTGTGTTTCAGTCGTTTCGGCTTTCGGCTTGAGGTTTGAGATATTGTCTTCTCTTGAATTTCTATGGAAAAGATGGATGTACATATTCCGATCAATGTTGTTATGTCCGGAGATAATTACAGTTTGTGAGCACAATCGATGAAAAGTTTTTTGATAGGCCGAAAATTGTGGCGAATTGTTACGGGAGATATAGTTGCTCCCATTGCTCCGGTTTCTATAGGAGAAGTTACGCCTACTGCCACAGTTGTTGAATCCTATATTGAAAAATTGGAGGATTGGGATAGTAAGAACCATCAAATTCTCACTTGGTTGCGCAATACTTCCTCTCCGGCGATCCATGTTTAGCTTGCCCAATTTGACACTGCCAAGGCA